ACACACACACACACACACACACACACACACACACACACGTATACAAACACATAAAAATAAAAAAGTAAAATCTCCTTTTACTACAAAGTGAAATCACGCAATGAGTAGACCCTGTTGTGCCTCTGGCACAGACGCGGCTCTCTCCCTTAAGGCTCCCTGAGTCCAGAGCAGGGTCCTCTCCCATCCATGAGTGCTTTTCTCCTCCAGTGTGCTGTGACCTCTCAGCCCTTCCAGTCCACTTTTTCCTCCCTCATGGCCTTCACAAGCCAGTCCCGTTCTGACCCCTGCTCAGAGTCGCTGCTGTCACTCCCCTCCAGAGCTAGCAGCTTTGAGTAGTTGATCCTCTGCTCTTGGGGCAACCTGGGCTGGGTGGCCAGGAACACGGCCAGCCAAAGCAGTAGGACCACACAACAGGCTTGGTAGAGCACTGCTATGCTAAAGCGCATTACTACAAAGCCCCCGACAAAACTGCCTAGGCTGCAACCACTCTCATAGAAGTGACCTCGGAACATGGTGCTCAGAGACCTCTCCACGCCAGAGGTGGCCAGATCCTCTAGGGAGGTCCCCACAGCCCACCACAGGGCCCCACTGCTGATGGCACTCAGGATCTGAACAGGGAGGACGGACCACCAGCTCCAGGAGAAAGAGTAGTAAAGCAGCTGCAGGGCCAGGCAGCTCAGCCCCAGCCCCAGCACACCCACCCTAGACAGTTTCCTAAGCAACGAAGTTCTGAATGGATGAAACAGAACTTCTCCTAGTAAGCCGAGAGCCACCGAGAAACCCATCACCAGCTCGCTGCTGCCATGGTCCTTCATGTGCCAGAACAGAAAGTTCTGCACCGTACTGGCAGTGGCTCCTATCCAAAAGACAGTGAAGGCGAGGAGGATGAGGCGGGAGTCACCCCGTATGAGGGACAGTGCTTTGATGGGTTTGTAGCTAAGCCCCTGCTGCTGGTAGATGGGGACAGGAAAAGCAGTGCTCACCGCTAAGGCCAGAGTACTGAACAGAGCATAGCTGTAGAAATGAATCACGCCCCGAGGACCATTGGTCACGAGGAAGCATTCCAGATGCCCCACCAAGGCTGCAATGCCACACACACCTGCTGACATACCCAACAATCTCCACATCCACAAGTTTCTGTTCCGGTCAGCGGCGTCTACAAAATCCAGGTATTCAAAAAGACTGTCATCTGCCACCTGCTCCAGAGGAGCTGTCAGCAGTTCCCAGAATGCCACAAACCCCAAGGAGAGGATGAAGGTCCACTGAGGCCCTTTGGAGGAGTGGTCAAGGGCCTGGTCATCCCCCTGGGCCTTTGACAAGTTGTCTGGACTTCCAAGGGCTGCACTTCTAGGAAGTGTCCCCAGGGTAGCATTGTCCACCTCAAAAGTCCCTTCCTGGGAATTAGCTCTCAACCCAGAAGTGACAGGATGGAGAGCTTGGGTAGTGATCCTGGCTCCTTCAACAGAACCAGCGAAATAGGCCTGCAAAGCGCGAAGTATTCGTTCTTGATTTTTACCAGATCCGTTTGGAAAGCCAGACGTGTCCAAGGCTCTGGTGTGCCTGCTGCCCGGGAGGCTGGGTGCTCCTGCCCAGTGGTTTGGGACTGACCCCTGGGAGGAGGTCATGTTCACAGTCTGTGTGACCCCCAGGGGAAGGACAGTTGTGACCACTTTGTTGCTTCCATTACAAAAGTGGTTGTTCAGACTTCTGTCCACAGGTGGGACGAGGACCATCAGGAGGCTGGCTCCTGCGGAGCCCAGCAATGACCCAGTCAGAAACATTCGCCTTTTCTGGTAGCGTTTGGCCAGGAAGGCACAGAAGGGAGTCCAGCAGGCTGCGACCAGGTGCTTGGTTCCCATGAGGATGCCCACCCAGGGTGCGGCCACACCCAGATTCCTCAAGTAGAGGGTGAGGAATGGGGTCACACAGGCATCCCGGACCCCACACACCACAGGGAAGAGCTTGG